AGATATTATAGCACTGTTTGGTGCGTTTTCAGAATTATTGTACGCTCATGTCACAGCCTGAGCATTAAGATGTAGAGATCGTTTCCCAAAGAAAAAACAGCCGCTGAACCGTGGCTTCTCAGTGTGAGGGCCAAAAGCACTAATAGAGTAGGATACCAGACTGGCTCGTCTAGACTCTTCTACAGCTGTCTCCCGACCGTACAGCATCTGGCTCGTACTTAAAAAGCTAGCTACTACCGAGTCAAGAGCCAAAAACCGAGAGACTGCAGACTTAAGCCTGATGTCATGAGATAAAATGAGAGGCCAAAGTAATGATCATGGCCCCGAAGTGCTCTCTGGAGGTTTGGTTTGATTCTTGTCTTGTTCGATTTCATCAAGATCAACTACCAATCACCATCGCCCGCAGTCACTAGGCTATCAAACCTATTTCCCCTGCCCGTCACAAACCTCATCTTCTCATCACTCATAACAGACTCCCCTGGGACATCACCAGTCCGATCCGGAAGCACGTCCTCGATAGCCCATGCGATCCTCTCTGCGCCGGCTCGGGCACCCGCAAGATTAGCAGCCCCGGGTCCCAGACGTAGCGCGGCAAGTCGTCCTGACAAGAAGAGCGGCACATCCTTTGACCACTTCAAGTCATCGTCTATGCACGGCAAGCCCCCATGGCCGTGGATAGGATGCTCGTTTAACATTGTCTGCAAGTAAGGCAAGCTGGCATAGTCCGTCTGCACGCCCGTCGCGAAGTATATGAAATCCATACCCGGCAAGTCCCCTTCAGCAGCCGACGGCTCTGTCTTCACGTTCCACACCTTTTTCTCCTCGTCAAAGTGCGCCTCAGAAAGCCTCGTGTTCGTTAAGAGACGCAGGCTTCCTCGGGCGGTATGCTGCTTCAGCCGCTTCTGGTACGGCGGCGTGATGCTGCCCCCGCCTCTGGCACTCTGGATCTGCTGTAGCCGCTCCTCGTCTGAATCAGCGGACCAGAAGTACGCCTGCTCCACGTTGCGGAACTTGCCCATCCATGCGAGGTCAATATCGAAGGGCTTCACTTTGCAAGGGCCGCGCATGAGGTGCCAGACTTTCGTCACGCCACGCCGGATGGCTAGGTCAGATAACTGCGCTGATGTAAGCCCGCCGCCTACGACGAGGACGTTTGTCGTCTTCTTTGCGGAAATCTTGGCCTGGACAACCGGGTCGGGGAACTTTTGAATCTGCATGCTGTGGCAGACCTGGGGTGGTGCCGGGCAACCCGGCTCGCTGTTGATGCCCAGGACGGGAGGGATCGTGGGTGTATTGGCTGGGCCGACGGCCAGGACGACTGTTCTCGCATAGTGTGTTCCCTTGTTTGTCTGGACGGCAAAGAGGTTTGCATCCGGTGAGACTCGTTTGATGGGACTATACTGGATATCTTGCACCTTTTCGTTTTGGATAAGGCCTTCGCGGAGACCGTATCGGTCGACAATGCATTCGCAGTGGTTGGCGAAGAGGTTCGTGGGGGGCGTGAAGTAATCTTTGCGGTCTCGTTCGTCGACTTCGACGACGGCGTGTTGTCTGTAAAGAAGGTTAAATTAACCTTGGTCGTATAGGATTGAAGTACATGAGGGACGAGGTGTTCGCTGCTTACTTTGGGTTCCGTGACTTGAGTCTCGCCTTGCGAAGATGCTTGCTGATCTCCTTTCCGACGCACGCCCGCAGCTCTTGAAGTTCGTTCTCCTGATTTCGCTCGTGAGCTCTGGCAAGTAAGGCGTCACGATCGCTCGGATCGACGTGGAAGAACATGGGACTGCGCAGGTGAGTGATGTCAAACGTCTTGAAGAGGCGGTTCCAGCGGTTCATCCACTCGTCACCCGTGGCATCTAGGACTAGTGTCGAGTATCGCTGGCTCCGTTCCGGTGTTCTCTTCTCGATGATGTTGCCGTTACGCCTGTTCTTTAGAGGCATGCGACGGCCGTACTTGCGGATCCAGTGATACCGCTGGTGCTCTTCGTCTGTGAAGAGGGCTGAAGGGGAGTGTTCACATAAGCGGGAGGCTACGGCCAGGCCGCAGGGGCCGGCGCCGATGATGAGGACGTCGTGGATGAAGGCTTCTGTCATGATGAGATAGAATGAGAAGCCAGTGAGAAGTATAGACTGAGGGAGGTAGTTGAAGAGACGTGCCCCTCGCGGGAGTCAGACGGTTTTGTTGTCCATCTCATCACCTCTTACCTCGAACCTGCCTCCGTCTATCACCTAGTCACAAGGGGATTTCACTTACAGCTATATCGACCTTGATGGCCAGCTACAAAGAGTTGTGAGACCAATGATAGGCAGAGATGGTAGCTGTGATCCCTGTCCGGGGTGTCTCTGATGGCTCCATCTCGCAATGAGGACCTTGATGGGCAGCGGCATGGAGCAGGATGAGGCAATGGCGGGCGAGCACGAACGATTCATGATGACAGGTGTTTCTCTTTAATCTGACACCGAGAAATTCGGAACAAGAAAGACCGGAACCGTTCTAGCATTTGTAAAAAAGACCATTGAAAATGCATCTCGAGATGAGCCTGGGCGTATTGAACTTTCCGACACAGTAACAAGTCCAGTGCTACATAGATGACTTGCTGCGGCCATGTGCCTACGAAGCGCATACCTAGAATTGAAATGCCTGCCATAAGCATGATCTATCTAGTCTTTCTGTGAGAGGTATGCGCATTCTGAAATGCCTTGGCGAGGCACGGCGTGTTGCCGGACATTGACCCGAATGCGATGCCCCACACCGGCGATCATCCGGGAATCCACTCATTCCGGTCGCCGGCAGCTCGACAGGCTGTATGTCTCCGTCCACACCTTACAAGGCCGCCCAGCATCCCGACCCGATCGAAGTCACTTCACGGGCCGGAATCACTGGATAGAGTCGCACTAAATCGGATGATCCAAGATTGCGAATCAATAATCGATTCATGCACCGGTTGCATCCCAGCCGGGTGGATCGGGCATGAAGACGCATTAATGATTTGCTGTTCAATTTGACAGATAGACCTTGTCCGCATAGTTGCCCACCTCGGTGCTGTAAGTAGCAAAATTTCGATACCTAGCTACGGCAATGATGCCCCCGTCAGGATAGGCCTTCTCACAGAGGGTGCCAAAACCTACTTACTCGAATCGATCCGGGGTTCAACCGAACCACCACGTGTCGACTTGTCAAGTCCTTTTTGGTTCTTTGGCAGGTGTGCGAATGACAACTGGCAGCATTGGCTTCAGAAACAGTACGTAATACTCCGTACCTAGGTACTCTTTCCAGCCCCAGGGGCTAGAGCAGAGAGCTCCTTCTCCGTGCGGCGTGCGGTGTGCCCCCCTTCCTCCATATGAAAGAAACCCACATCCTCCCCAACAGAAATCTCGTCATCCCTGCCGGGCAGAATTGACCCGCAAAGGTATTTTTTTCGTCCATTTGGTATCCAGTCATTGGTCGGCCTTGGCCAAGCCACGACCTTTCCTTCCATCCTCTGGGCCATGGAAGGTCTGGCTCCTCCCTCGACGTAATTGTGCAGTGCATTGCTCGGTTTAAGCCACACGGCACGATGACGCCACTTCCTTGCACAACGCTGGCCATTACGACAGAACCCGCCCCCTTGGCCAGCAAGGCCAGCTGTACAGGGAGATGAGGGAGAAGCACAGCTGCACAAGCTTGGAAGCCACAGCACAAGCCGCAAATTTCCCATCGGGGTCTTGTTACTCTCCATCTCCTTCAACCCCCTGCTACTGTGCGGCATGCCCCATGCTCCTTTAACGAACAATGGACTCGGACAGGGAACAAATGCGTGCCCCGGAATTCCTTGAGAGCGTTGGAAATAGTCGGGGAGGGAGAACTAGCATGCTAAGGTATTTCTGAGTGCTTTTCTGGTGCTGGAGCGCTGTGGCATGCTCGCGGATAGACTGTATTAACCGTGTTTTTTTTGTTGTTTTTTCTTTTGTATGGTCAAATCTCGATGAACATCGTGGCATTTTCCCAACTCGTGACACGCGACTGTGCTCTAAGTTAATAGGTACGAAGGAAGGGCGCCATCCAGAAAACCAAAGGACCTAAGCTCAAAATCACAAGTCAAAAAAGAAGAAGCTCTTGCGTGACACCAAACCATCTACCCGCGCTTGACGAAGCTTGAAGTCCTGCCTGTTCGACCACTTTTACACCGCAACAGCTTAGCTTCCCAGTTGACACTCTCGATCCATCAATATCCAGCCAGGGCCAACCTTAAAAAAAGTTTCAATCCCGTGGCCCGCGTCCCGCCTACCGGACAAGACGCTCCTCCCCCCACTAGCTGCAGGTCTGGTTCCGTCGGGTATCATCATATGCGCATCTGCCTCCTCTCGACTTTGCAATCTCTCAATCACCCGAGCACCTCCTCCTACTGGACTGGACTGGCCTTGCCGTAACCGCGTAAGTGTACACACCGACTACTAACTTAACGCCTTCCGTCCCTCGTCCCATTGCCCTCCCCATCCAGCTTCGGGTATCCTGCAGCTCTGCTTCGTTGGCAGTTTGCACCAAACAGGAGCCGTGTCTACTTCCCCCCTTACCCTGTCCCGTCTGTCTGTCCGTCCATCTGTCTCTCTGTCCTGTCCTGTCCTCGTCTTTCCACCTTTTGCCCGCGGCATCATAATCATCATCATCATCATCATTGCCTTACCCACCCCTCCTAACATTTCTAAACCAAGGCACGACACCCACACCTTTGGGAAATCCAGAAACCCAGCTCCAACTTCCCCCGAGCCGAACTACCTACTTACCTGCAAATCCAACTTTCCTATACCCTACGACATAGTACGCCGATCTACAGGGAACACCTCACTCGACCCATACAAGCCCCCTTCCTTACCTAAGTCGCAACTAGCAAGTTCACGCGGGAATTCGACAGAGACGCTTGCTGCTTGACAACACATAGTACCTCACCACCACCAGCACAACCACCTTCCTACCTCGCAACCCGCCCCCCTCTCGCACACTACACACAAATAAAGACACCATGTCTTCTCCCTCAGGCTCCTCGGCAGCAGGCAAGCGGAAACGCACCAACGCGACGAACCCCACCAACATGCCCGACGTCGCCGACACAGTCGACGCCGCTCTCCAGGCTTCGTCGCGAGATGCCTCGGGCGAGGAGGGCGACAGCACCGCTCCCGAATCCGGTCGCATCGCCGGTCACCGCAAGTCCGACTCCACCTCCGCCGGTCACCCTCCTAAGAGGCAACGTGCCAACTCGGAGCGTTCTCACGAGACGAGCTCCAACAACCAGCAGACCGCCGCCGCCGCGCAGGATCACTCCCTCGACCCCGGCGAACCTAGTGACACCACCGAGGCCAGCGTCGACATTGCTGAGCGCGTCGGCCGCAAGAACAGCCGCAAGCAGGTCTCGATAAAGGAGGACGAGAAGGATGAGGCCATGCCGCCCCCGCCAACTGGAAAACTCACGCACCCCGTGGGCTTCAGAACAAACGATCCTCCTGCTGGCCGGGCCGTCAGGGTTTACGCCGACGGAGTCTTTGACCTCTTCCATCTCGGGTAAGTCTGAATGGATCCCCTTCCCCCGGAAGACAAAAGAGCTCGCTTCCCAATGCGTCTTCGTCCTTTCCGCTCGGGCAAGGAACTTCATTGTACTGACTCTCTTGCCCCTCTTGCAGTCACATGCGCCAGCTTGAGCAGGCAAAGAAGGCCTTCCCCGACACCTACCTCATCGTTGGCGTCACCGGTGACGCCGAGACGCACAAGCGCAAGGGCCTGACGGTTCTCTCCGGCGCCGAGCGCGCAGAGACTGTCCGGCATTGCAAGTGGGTGGACGAGGTCATTGAGAGTTGCCCGTGGATCGTCACACCCGACTTCCTCGACCAGCACAAGATCGACTACGTCGCCCACGACGACCTGCCCTACGGCGCTGACGAGGGCGATGACATTTACAGGCCCATCAAGGAGGCTGGAAAGTTCCTTGTTACCCAGCGCACAGAAGGTGTCAGCACGACGGGTATCATTACCAAGTACGTTCAACTTTCTCGCATTGTTTTCTCCTGCCTTCGTCTCTACGTTGCTGCATGGAGATTACTGCTTTAAACAATGACTAACAATGGCCTCTGCCAGGATCGTCCGCGATTACGAAAAGTATATTGCTCGTCAGTTCAAGCGCGGCACGTCGCGCCAGGAGCTCAACGTCAGCTGGATCAAGAAGAACGAGCTCGACCTCAAGCGCCACGTGCAGGAGCTGCGCGATAACATCCGCACAAACTGGTCTACCACCGGCCAGGAGCTCTCCCGTGAGCTGCGCCAGTTCTGGCCCGCCTCCCGGCCGCAGTCCCCCGCACCCTCCGCTCGCACTGCCTACATCCAGAACGGCGACCTCCTGGCCGCCGCAAACGCCAACGCGAGCAAGTCCCGCCTCAGCGTCGAGATACCGACCACGCCTGGTGGCACGCCCGCCGCGACGCAGTCCAATGACTTTATCACGGGTTACGCATTGGGTCTCGTCGGTGGCGTTCGCTCATGGGTAAGTGTCTTCCCCATCTTTTCTACACTGGAAATTTTCCATGCCACCTACTTCATTTTGAACATTTCCACTAACTCATGTGCTATGCAGATGACCAAGAGCAAGAGAAGCGACCAAGATAGCCCCAGCCGTCGCAACAGCGACGACGAGTCAGAGAGCGACGGCAAGAGCCCCCGCGGCCGCGTCGTTCCTCAACAATCTACCGCCGCCACAGCGAGCGCCTCATAATTCACCGCCCATCATCCTCCTTCAAACCTAATTACTATTGCACCGGGTGAGACATTGGGGAGGGAAAGGAATGGACCTGGATGGTTTACACAAAAACGAAAGAGAATGATGCTGGAACACACACACACACACACACACACACACACACACACACACACACACACACACACACACACGTTTTGACTAACTGCTGTTGTACTTATTATTGTTGGGCACTCTTCGTCGTCAAAAGAAAGAAGAGAATGGCGTTTTTGAGAGTGTCTTGTTACGTTACCTCGAGAGGGTAACTCTGTTGCGAATGCCCTCTCCCTTTTGGTTATTTTATTGCATAGAGATCTGCTACTGCTACTTTTACATAGCTATCTTATCCTCCACGAAAAGAAGAATTCAAATTGTCGAAATCATTGACAGTCTACGTGCTTAGCTAATCTATCTTGGTCAAGTGAGCGAGAAGCCTTACAGTGCACATCATTAATATGATGAAAGGCCCATCTCAATTTACAGCTACATGGACAGGTGCGTTGATGAGATGCTACCAATGCTCTGCATAGCTAACCAAGGTGCTTCAGACCCCAAGGGACCACAAAGTCTCGGTTGCTCTCAAGCCAGAAGGGAAACACGCATGTCGTACTCGCAAGGTGGAAGGAAAATCGGGGTTCACACTCATCCCAACTTGTGGACCAGAGCTTCTGATGCCAGGATAGACCTGGCTCACAGAGCTAGCCGTTGAGCTCCTTCCCGCTCCTACCCCTTTTCTCTCCCGCATATCTGCAAAGGAGTGGTCACCTCCTCCTCACTCCCACACACAAAGAGTCGCCCCGCTTCGCGGGGCGGTGACCGACCTCTGCTCCGTGCCTTACCATCATGGTTTACACTCTCTACCGGCCCCCAAGGTTTAGCCACTTGCGCGCGCTGGCGCGAACTTTTGACGACATCTCCGTCACATCAAGTGGTGAACATGATATGACGAGCATGAGGTGATGATGCCGTTACGCTTCTGCCTTACCACAGCACACCCGGCTCAGAGGGGTTCGCCACATCCGACATGCGTCTGCCTTGACACCACCGGGGAGCTGCCGGATCATGGATTCCTTTCAAAGGATGGAGGGGTGAGCGTGGTATGCAGAAACGTCGTCCTTAACCGTCTCGCCACAAGGTAAACACAGTTGGCGTAGAGTAGCATCCATACCGCCAGAGCTCCTCCGGGCTGATCAGTTGGCCCATACTCATGTGATCGAGGTCTTTGTTTCAAGTAGACTAACGGGAGGCGTTGAAAAACCCGTCAACCCGTCATCTTTAGCGGATGGGCCCGTCCAGGCCGCTGGGCGCATTGTGAGGCTGAATGGTCACCGCTCGCCAACGTCCGTACCAACGTCCGTGGCGTTGGCTGACAGGATGTGACCCTCTTCTAATGACACGGTTCGTCGCATGTTTCACACTCGCATGCTGTGGGAAAGTCAAGGGTATACTTCACTGGAGACTTACCTTCCTTTGTTGGAGCACCCTCGGGATATCATTATCCAGGTAAGGGCTGGGTCAAACACCCGGCCCGTGATGTGGCGATAGTTGAAGAATGTGGGTTAGCACGGTGTTCCATCGCCTTCACTTTCTGGTGGCAGATCAAAGGTTCCAACCGTCTTTGGACTCGCACTTGAGTCTGGCGGGTGAGCCTATCAGAGCCAGAGAGGATGGGATCGTCTCGGCCGGAAGCCGGGTCGCCCGTTCCAACTGTATCTCTTGCCAAGGATCATGTTGGAGGCGGTAGAGATCGAATGGTGAACGCCATCCTCGCTGATCACCGCCCGCTGGGATGGTTCGGCAACGCTCCTTGCCGCTCCCCCGCCATGGGACCAACCGTTGCTCTGTCAAGCTTGGCGTTGTTCCCCTCCAATTCAACACCCTCATAGACCCAATGATGGGAACAGGCCAAGGCCTTGCGGCCGTAGACGAAAGAGGCAATAGGCTCGTGCATTCTCGAGGTCGAGAGCATCCCTTATTTTCGAACACGAGGTTTCAACGTTGCGGTTGCGTTCAGCTCCCCGTTGGGGGTCCTGTTTCGACCTTATGGCACGGTATAGATTCGCATAGGCACAAGGGCACTCGTTCCTTGCATCCCACATACCGGTTCGTGGCCTGGCCGAGTTTCGCCGCACTCCGACTTGAGCATGGTACCTGCATTGCTGCAGCTCGGATCCGCGAACAAAGAGCCTCTGCTACGGATCTTGAGAGCTGCTTCGACAACTGATCCTTCGGATGTGTATGGCATCATGGGGTCCGCATCTGTCAAGCAGGTACACTCAGCCGGCGCTCGAATACGGGGCATGGCGCATATTGTTACCTCCAGCGACAAGGCAGCAGCTTAGGACGCTGAGTGTTGTTGTTGTCTCCGCGAAGGGAAAGACATTTCTTCAAGATGGAGCATGTCGGCTGCGCTAATTTTGGCGCCAGGCGCGTGGCTCGTTGTGGACGAGTTTGGATCTGAGGGCGTGAACAACTTGGAGGCCGGTAGTTGGGTGATAGATGATAGGTCCCAGTAGGAAGGTGCTGTCCTAGGGTTGGTGACTCTAGCCGCCCATGGTGGGTAATGGGGGCTGAGTCTGGCGATGTGATGGGATATGCGTGACGGGAAGGCTAAGCAGTGATCCAGTTTATAGAGGGAGTGCGGGTATCCAGAGCCGCGTCGCGTGTTACCCCACGCAGGAGGAGCGGCTTGGCTCCTTTGCGGCCTTCCTACCGAGGCACTGCCCCAAGAATCTGGTGGAGTGCATCTCGAAATCTGTCTTTGATCTCGGATGAAAGAAGAGGTACCGGCGAAGAGCAAGAGGTTCGGTCGTAGCTCACTCATCGGATAGCAAAGCTACGGACCGCAGGTAACAAGCGCCATTGGTGGAAAGTTATCAAAAGGATTGGTCAAAACCATGTGCTGAGCATGGCAAACACGCCTTAGTCCGCAGGAACACGAGGAATCCCTCGCTACGGGCCGCTCGACAGAATCCTTCTAACGGCCGAAGAGCTGCAGTGCAATACTCGTCAGCTCGACCGTGAGTATGTGCCACTCCAGAGAGGAATGCTCAAGGTTGTGTAGATACATCGCCCAATCGATATCGCCTTAGCCCAGTGTTTTATCGGAAATCTTCTTGCTTTGTCAAGAGTTCGAATCGTGTAGAGTTGGTAAAACTTGGCCAGGAAAGGGCTCGAGATAGACAAAGCTGTTGGCGATCGCATAACAGTGCGAGTCTCTTTCTTCGGCTCTGTCGGCCACTGAGTCGGACGGGCGCTTCGGGCGGCAACGACATGCGCAGGCAAGTCGGCATTCGGTCATCGATTACGTGAAGCTGTCTGATGACTTGCAGCAAGGCAGTGAGTGAAGGATAACAGCACCGATAGCCTTGACGGTAGGTATGGTGCGATGGCTGTCCGTGGCTGATGCGGGTTGGCTGACATCCAACCGAGAGAAGAGCCGTGGAGTGGGTGTCTTGCTTCCACCAGAGCAAGATTGGGGGACGTGCCTGGTGAGGAGAGAATAGTCCGCGATCGTCGATCCTGGGGCTTGCTTGGCCGCCCTATGCCATGCAACAACCGTGGTGATGGGATGGGATGGGAAGAGATGCAATGCATCGTGGATCGGGCTATGTTGTGAGCGCCTCAGGGCTGGCTTGGTACGAGGGAGGCATGGATATCATGACCGACTGCAGCGTGTCGTGCGACCGAAGGGAAGCTGTTAGTGGGCGTAGCAGAGCTGTGCCAGATGGTTCGCAGCTAGGTCGGGAAGCGGTGCGATAGTTCAGATGACAGTGGCAGAACCAACTGGTTGGATCAGGCTGCAGACGAGACCAGCGTGCAATGGCAGGGTACCAATTTGGATCCGGGCCGCCCATTTAGCTCGTTGCCTGTTGCGCGGAGTAGCATCCGGAGCTTAGAATACCCAGGTGGCAGATGGATGACAACACTTGTCCCAGAAGAACTTCCCAACCGTAGAACGATGCCGTCGTAGCAGGATGATATGATGGTATGTGACGAGACGTGAGGGATCTTTTGCCCTACTCCCCCCTCTTCGCGAGCGCACCGGGGAGCCGTTGGCCCTGGCGTTCCCACGGGTCCCCATGTCCAACATCGCTAAGCAGCTGTCAACAATACCAAGATGCAAAAATTTGCATCGGTGATGCAGATCGAAAACTGGATTCCGTGGATGGGCTGGCACATGGTGGTGATGATGATGCGAATTTCAAGTATGGATTATTAGACGTGCATGGCAGAGGTCAATCCGGTTCGTTTCCGCGTTCATGCTCGATGTCTAGGTCAAACGAGGCTTGAACAAATGGGGTCGCCGCGGCCGTTGACAGCTTGGTTTCTTTTTGGGACGAAGTTGGTGTGGTAGACCCCTGTTCAAATGTCGTCGGTGTGACAGTCAGCCAACGGGATCAAGCCGGGAGACGGAAGTCGGCTGCTAAAAATACCATTGGGTTAAGCGCCGACCCTTGTTCCTCTTTTCCCCTTCCCCTGCCATCATATTGCCGGCCACCTTGAACAACGGAAACTCTGGCAAGCCGCAAGACGATGAGCATCTTAGGTAATGAGCCTGGCAGGCACTTTCGGTGGGGATCAACTCAATTTTCACTGTCGCTGAGGTGATCCATCCCAAGCAATTCGTTACCACATATCTGTAAAAGTGTAAGTGTACGGGTAGGTAAGGTACGGGTACCGCCAAATGGCCAAGACCAAAAGTAGGGCAGTGTGCTGCAATGTCATGACTTAGACTTATACCGCCACTTAGGATGAACCGGCAACTTCCCGCGGGATTCTCTCCACCGTGTTGAATTACATCTTGGCTGGGTGCGGCACAGAGGTGATAAGCACCGACCACTGACTCCCTCGAAAGGGAAGTATAGACGGCCTCAACGGATTATGCGCCATGAAGAAAATGCAACGGCGTGCAAGTGAAAGGGTCGTAGTAGGAATCCAGGCGCAGAGCGGCACAGAAAGCGTTGGATGAAGAACTCCGGCGTTGATGTGCAGTGGATGCGATGTGGGCGTGGTGGACGGGCGGGCGATGGCAATGGGGAACGGGCAATGGCAAGGCATCAACATCATCCCAAAGACCCAAAGACCCAACGACGTTCGTGGGCCCCAGTTCCAACCGACAGATTGTCGGCCGCAATGCGCCTTCCCGGGATCGAGAGCAGCGTTGACACCTTCCATTAACTGGTACCATTACCTGGTAAATGCCTTCCGTGCGAGTTTACGTGCGGAACCCTAGCGCGATGTTGGCAGGGGCATCTACTCCGTACCTACCCTATGTGCCTACCTTAATCCAGTTACCTTGGGAAAGGAGATGTTGGCAAGAGCAACCCAAAGTACCTTGAGGTAAAAGCTGCCTCGAGGAGTCAAGTCCGAGCCCCCCCCCCCCCGGTGATGCTGCCCGGAAAATCTGCGGTTTAGCTAAAGTAACGGCGGTAAGGTGCGTAAGGACCGGAAGGTAAGGTAAGGTAGGAACAATGGGCCAGAGTCACAACGGTCCGGTCGATCCTTCCTCTTCCCGTCCACGACGTGACTTAGCAAAGTATTCTCTCTCCACCGTCCAACTCGCGACCGTTTGACGACCAACTAAAGCTTGGAAACTTGCGACCGCCACTTCGAAGCTTCTTCGCAGAGCTCTTCTAGCTAGCTACCTTATTCAACGGATAGCTTGATTTTTGCTGCCCAAGCATGGCCATCCTTTCTCCTATCTTTCGTGGCGTTGTCAATCGTACCTAGCAGAAGCGAAGGTATCCCTCCCACCCTCCCTTACCCACCCCTCATCGAACCATCGCTCCATCACCTCATAGCTCAGCTCCGAGATATCTCATGCAGCTTCAGCTACCCGTACCTCCCCCGAATTCCAAGCTCGACGATAGTCCCAATCATGCGCCCGGGATATCGAATGCTGAAACGGACCCCATCCGCGCAAGATGCCCGCAAGACCCCTCACCGGGAGCCAGCTCCGAGACTTAAGGTTTCGCCAGTATATTGCTCATCATCGGTCGGTCCGGCCCCCAACACAGAAAAACAGACGGATCACATCTGTCCATCTGCCCCTGAATCCTGATCTTTTCCCCCGAAAGCTGATCTGCCCGAGACCTGTGGGTCTCTACAGGGCCGCCCTCCGTTACGATCCGATGCGTTTGCTGCCATGAAGCCGGTTCGGACCCCAACACTTGCGGGCTTTCATATCGACGGCGGCACTAGCCACGGATGGACAGCAACTGAAACACTGAAGAATTTCTGCCCCGACGTCGCATCTCGCGCTGCCCGTTTGTTCATCCCTTGACAATGACTGGGACCGCTGGCCCCAGCCCGTAACCGGGTCCCGTCCGTCCCTGCAGCCGGCCCAGGCCGTCGGTGTGACCCCCATTGGGACAACTCCACCGCCCATGCCGACACTCGCCAAAAACGATCTTCGTACGGATACACTGCGGATACACAGTATCTACACTAGTTTTTCTCCCTCGATAGCACACCCGAGATGCTGTGCAGCAACAACTTGGTCAACGTACGTAGCACCCTGTTAGCGTGCCTCGTCGTCACCAACGCTTAATCCAAATTGTCTTATTGTGGTATCGAGAATTTCATACCTTCCTATCTCTGCCGCACCCCATAGATTACCTGCTAACTTGGAATCTGCGCTCAATGTAGCCATCGCTTTCGTTTCGAAGTTATTGTAGTAAACGACACATTTGGAAGCACGGAAGCTCAATGACACCAAAATAGGTCCTCAATGACTGGCAATTCGTCCCTCGGCACGCCAATGAGGCGCTGGGCTGCGCCTAAGCCCCTGCCGTCCCCGCCGATTCGGGGCTATCCCTGTCCACCGCCCTACCTACCTCTCCCATGTTTCTCAGCGGGCCGGCTGCTGCATGGCGTTCTCTTGGTATCCGCGTCGAAGATTGACAGCAGCCAACTGCTCGGTCGCTCGCCGCCCTCACCTTGGGCGACCGATGCTGTTATTCATTACCCCATGACCATCGGCGAACCTTCCGATTATTGCTTCAATATGATCGGCCTTTTCCTCCGTACCCGCAACCCGGAGTCTTTGACGATTCAGCAAGGAAGCGGAAAATTTTCAACCTCGGGAGCCCTTGAATCATGGCACAACGCTGCTCAACTCCTTCAATCTACTTTACTTGGGGTCCTCGGTCCTCGGCCAGACTGGAACCATACTGTACAGTTTCCTTTACGCCAGAGTCGGTTGCGAAGATGGCTTGTCAAATGGTTCCCTAGGTCTATCTGCATGAGCTATGCGCCAGAGTTCGAAATAGACTGCAAGCACTCGGTCACAAGTACAGTACCTGTCTGTGCAGGATCTGCTTATAGCCATTCTGCGGATAGAGTCGACGGGCCACAAGACTTGTGTGTATTCTCTGCCGTCACGGTGAGCAAAAGCGACCTTGACACGCAGTCAGACGCGAGACACACAGCCAGTCAGAGGGTTCACGGGCTCCATCTCTCCCACACGGATTGTATAACTCGCACGCCAGTTGGCTGCTGCCTTCGCTGCCCTCCGTTACATCTCCCGCTGTTTGCTGGACTGGATCTTGGGATGGATGCCCTGCAAAGTCAAAATCCAAAAAGGGCAAGCCAGCCTAGCAGGGGTTGTTGACAGGGCAGCCGACTCATGCAAGTACAGCAATGACAACGGTTTACTTTACGGTCGGGAGACTGCGCCTCATTTCGTCTGACAATTTTTTTTTTCTCGCAGAATTCTCACTGTCTGTACAGCATTTCCCCCAGAAAACACGCACTCACAGCCACTACTTTTCCACCACGGACGCTAGCGGCCGCTACTGTGGGAAACGGAATGACCGCGCTCCATCTGGCGCCGCTCTTTCTCTCGTATCTACACAGTGACGCCATTACCGCATGTTGCTATTCCTCATTGAGACCTCCGCACTGTCTCCCGTTGAAATGGCGGCCTTGTTATGCAGTACAGGCATTTCCACCATCGGCAGGGTCAATAAGTCAGTCAGTACTCAGTGACGAGACGGGATATCTGTCTTAACTCCAGGGGAAATGAAGACAAGACGTCTGCCAGAACTGTGGGTTCTTGGGGTCTCGCCGACATGCGACTCGGTCGATCTGGTTCAGATCTTAGACAAGAGGAGAGACACACACAAACGAGACGAGACGGAGAGACAGAGTCAAAATGGAAACATGACCGTCCACATCGTCATCAACCGCGGCTACTATACATGGCCGCGGCTTTTCTTTGGGATGTGGCAGAGATCCCAGACGCGCTCATTCCGTGACATCGCGGCAATTTCATACCAAACTTGGGGAGAGACGCTGCGTGGGACCGTGGGATGGGGTCCCGTCTGCCAGCCTGAGAGGGCTGAGTCGTATGACAGGCATCTGGTCACTCTACCAATCAACCCGAGGCCAAAGACAGTGGTGGGTGACCGAACCCCAGCTCGGCCGATACCCTTCGAAGGAGTGCCTTGCATTTTTCGAGCAACCTCCATGTCCCTCCGTGTCCAACACCCTTGAATACCCATGTACATAGACACAGCTGACAGGGGAAGCGAGACCTCTAAGAAGAACAGCCTCCTTGAAGAGCTGTCATCCTCCTCTCTTTTACTGCCACTTGCTCGCACCTTGCATCTGCCTCCTCTCAATATAGCAATGTCTCCAACAAGCGGCAGCGGCAACAGCACCAGTATCTTTGTCTCTTCTCTTCGTTCAGTTCCATTGCATATCGACTCCGCTTAGAACCAACTGCTCTTCTGCATCTCACCTCAACCCCCAGCCTGTTGTTGGACAAGCTGACAGTCCAAGAACCGCCCCCCTACCGCACCTAGGTCTTTGCCTTGCCTTGCCTTGCCTTACCTTACCGTACCTTACCTTATCTCACTGTCCTCCATCCACCCCAGTTTAGTCCTTCATTCTACACCGACACCCCCCTTTCTTGGACCCTGACTGTCCCCCAACTCACACTGCGTCTTCATGTTTGGGGGTTGCTTCCAACTACACTCACTCAACTTCAGTCTATTCCGAGGAAAGCATTCAGCCGGGCTGTGCCTTACTAACTTTGGCTGCGTTGCTTCCTCTGCATTTTCCTCCCTGGGTGCAACCACTCTGCGTCTCGATCTTCTACACTTCCCTTTTGGGATTCTTGAACCATGGCCAGCCTCCAAGATATCATGAACGTGGACGAGGACCAACTCGAATCCCACACTATTAAGAACGACCAGGTCCCGGCTCCATCAGGCAGACATCATCAACCCTACTTGGCACCAAGCGCAGTTTACAACACAGGCTATGCAACTGGTGAGGATCAAGCAGACCGTTCAAGCACACCACAAGGCACGAAGCGAAGCTCATCCTCCCGCACCTCCAAGTCGAACACCACAGGCTCGTCATCCTCATCTGTTCGACCAGTCAACACCCGTCGAAGAAGCAACGTCAGCACCGATTCCATGGAGCAACCACACTACGGATACGGCCACGCAGGGCCCTCCAGCGGCGGCCTTGATCCCTCTGGCCAGCCCATGAGACCTTATGGCAGCGTGCCACCTGGAGGAGAGGTTCCCGTCAAGTTGACTCCCATCACCGGTCGTGTCAGTAGGGCAAAGAAGGGTATGAAGGTCCATACATGCGACCTCTGTCGTCCTCCAAAGGTACGCCTCTATGACTTGCGAAATTCGCTAGAGGAATCCGCTGACATGAGTTAGACGTTCACACGCGCTGAGCACCTAAGGTAGGCAGGCTTAAGACGGTAACTTTCCTTTGCGGCAGTTCGACTGACGGAATTTGATACTAGACGACACCAGCTGAGCCACGAGACTCCCCAATATGGGTGCTCAATTCCGGGTTGCGATAGGGCGTTCCACCGCAAAGACCTACTTGAGCGTCATCAGCAACGACAGTTAGTTTGGTATCCTCACCTTTGACTTCTGGCAATATTCAACTGACTTGCGGTAAGTGAGCTTGAGGGCGATAAAGCATCGAGGAGTAGAGGAGGGAGTCAAAGTCGCCGAACCTCGGCCGCCTCTTTGGATGCAGGAGTCCGCAACATAGGATTACAACCTCCCCTGCTCGGATACCCTACGAGCGCAACGACACCGATCCACGGCATCCCGATGACATCGAGTATGTCGCATCCTGGCACATACCAGTCCATGAATGCGTCAGACGTCAGCAAATCTATGTCTCCTCACTTGGGAAATGAAAGCTATCGCCCTTCGTCTGGTGGTCCTGGGTATGGTGGTGGCTATTCTTTAACTGGCCAACCCTCACAACAACCCATCCTACAGCCTTCAAATAGCGGGTTCAACACCTCGCCCTCGTTTTCCTCCATCGACTACCAGCCTCGTACAACTCCCGACTATCCTCCGTTGTATCTCCAGACTTCGGGGCTAGAACTGCAAACGCCCGAGCTTTCGCACGCTCAGGATCCCATAGGCTGGCCATCTTCAGCTTCTGACAGCACTTATTCAACGCCTTCCGATAATTCGCGACGCGCAATCTGGCCGACAGCAGGGCCAGACTGGCAGAGTAACCTCCTCTCGCCTTGCCCAGTCGGCTACGAGAACATTGGAGCCACCGGCCCTATGCTATACCAATACTCGACCTCCCCCCGGCTCAGCACTCCACAGGTGTACCCGATGCTCGGCACTTCCATACCTAGCTACTCTGACGAGCAGACATTCCGTGACCCTCAACAACAGCCACGGTTCCCCAATACTGTTCGTAGCCTAACCCCGCCGGTGACGTCGGCATCGGCTCAAAGTTGTGATACTCTAGTCATCCCGTCGACGGCACTACCATCGGACCGGGTGATAAACTCATTTGCCTGCTCGGGCCGTCAAAAGGAGATGGCGTCGGGCCTCCTGGCGGCCCCGGCCCTGATGCAGGGCTCCTTGCCTATGCCTGTCTGTAGAGCCATTCCCGCCTACCTCGATGTCTACTGGGAAAAGTTTCACCCTCATTTCCCTATCGTACACCGAAGGACTTTCGAGGCCGCGGCGGAGCAGCTTGAAGTGCTTCGTTGTGCCATGGCTGCAGTGGCGACTCAATACATGAGTGGTAAGGAGGATCGCATCAGGGGGGATCAGCTGCATGAATATGCCTGGCAACAATCCAGACGCGTAAGTTGACAATATCACACTCCATGACAAGGTTTGTTTACTGACTTTGCGGGAGAAACAGTTCCTCCAGTGGGACGTGTCCGTCATGCAAGCGATTCTGCTATGTGAGTACTTCGCGCGGTTCCGCGGCCGAAGAGCAGCCATCAGGCCATCGAGAGAATTTGAATCCGTTTATTCAAGGGTGAGTTCTCTTCCGCATTTCACTCTGACATGTTTGCTCTACTTCGTTTCTTCTAGCTTTAGTCTCTTTACTGTGTCAATTTTTCTTTCAGTCTTTTGGACCTCTCGTCTCAGCAACAAGTTCTAAACCTCCATCCCAGGTATACGACAATGCAGACAAGGCAGTCATATTTGGCGCCGTACCTCGGACCGGAACCAACACCGTCAGGTGGCATACTTGGCTTGATGCGGAGGCCCGCCGTCGCCTGCTCTCAGCGTGCTTCGTCCTGGATGTTCACAGCTCGGTTTACCTGGACCAGCCAAGAGCCCGCAACTTTGATATCACGCCCGATGGCATGCCACCCAATATTCCTCTCACCGGCCCGACTCAGGACATCTGGGATGCACCCAGCGCCGATGCATGGGCGGCGATGGTCTCGTCCAAGAGAGTCTCTCTGAGTGACCAGACACTCCTGTCTCTAATCAACCCAGACACCTTGTCGAGAACAACAGTCGACGCACACGTCCCTTTCGACCGCGCAGTGATTCTGGCCTTCGAGGTACTCTTGCTCCCTCCTCGTGGAGAAGCCGCACACATTTCTTCTTCAACAGAGATACTAGAGCCGCAGGCTTTCCGCATGGCCAACATATTTTCGGACTGTCCCGTGGCCAACACCTACCTGGCTCTTCACCACACCCCTCTTCACGATCTACTAGCCGTGTCAGGCGACAGTTGGATCTTCAGTCATAAGGTCCTCGAGTCCAAGCAGTTCGACGAGCACAAGAGGCGGCTCAGGGCGTGGACCGACTCGGGCAGCGCCGCTGTCGCCTTGGTCTTTGCCTGCCGGGCTCTTCGCGCCTTCACCGAGCACGGCAACTTGGAAGTAGACTCGGACGACGAAGATGACATGGATGTACAAGAGGATGGCCGACCTCGGATGTGGAAGGACGACATCTCGGACTACTGGGGCATGTACGTCTGCGCCCTCATTTGTTGGGCCAACGGGCACCGCATCAACGGCGGCGAAGCAAGTCGCGGCGGTTTCGACAACGATGACGACGCGCTTCAGTTGATTCGCACTATTGCGAACATGGGAGTTAAGAGCGCCATGGAGACGCCCTTGAAGAAGGAGGCCACGATCGTCGTGGCCCTCGTGAGAAGATGGCTCGAGGTGGATTGCCTTGGCAATCGTAGCCGACTCTACGTTGACGCGGTCGGCGTGCTGAGTAAGTTGGCGGAGGGTTGCACTTGGAAGTGGTTTTAAATGGACATGATTTTGTGTCAGTGGTGGTGGTGGGTGGCAGCATTTTCCCCATGTCGGCATTTGGGCATTTGGCATCAGCATTGCATACTTCTCTTCGATTATCCCACAAATTCTTTTGGAGGGTTTTACAGTTTTCTTTCTCTTTTTGTTCATGTTTTTTTGTTGTTGTTTTTTGGCTTCTCTTTCTTTGGCATGGCACACAGCACATTCAACAGCAACTTGGCCAGAGGATCATAATACCTATTTGCATTGTACACTTACGACATTCATGACGGGAGGAAGAAAGCAGCTCTGAGAGAAGTAGCATTTACGGCAGGATACAGATAGAGAAATGCAGAGACGGCCTTTTCCTTTTCGCTCATACTTATATTTTTCTTGTCATGCCTTTTCTTCTCAGTTGTGCTAGTATATGAAGGAGAATGTAGACCTCGATGAGTGCTTCTTTTTACGTTTATTAACATAACCACTTAGTATATATATCGAGATGATGTCAAATACATGAAGCATTCTTGAAGACTTCAGAAGACGTGTAGGATGACTGGAGCTAGACGATGAAGGGACCGACGTGAAATGCGAGACTTGAAGGAGTGGTGTTCTAGACACTACCTTGGTTACTTCTATACTGCTTGGAAGAACGGCATCTAAGCCCCGAAGGAGCGACCGTATTTAGGGAGGCCGCTTAGACTGGGTACGAAGTCGCTCTCGTCGTCCTAATTCTTATATAAACCTCTGTAGACTTCTTCCTCCCTTACCAAGGACCCAAGGACTTGGGTATCCGCGAGAGCTGGGGGAGGTTCCGGATGTACGCCGTCGTCTCTTTGTGCGTCTGGTTCCGCAGTCCTGGTTAAGCCACTGGCCCCTGAACGGTGCCTTCTTCACCTAGAGAAAAGAGGAAAATGAGTGGAGTTAGAGAAGACAGCCTATCAAGTTATATACATTCCCATCTTCACCTCCCTCTCCACTCACGACGTATTCCAAAGGGTATATTCCTCGATAAATGAGAAAGACGTTGGTATAGAGGGCATTTTAAAGATGAATTGCGCTCAAGGGAAGGATGATCTAGATGTTTAGGCATAGTTAACGTCCTAGAGCCCCTCGCGATGCTTACCGGTAACTCGAGCTGCCATGAGATGAGAACATGCTGCTTGGCCATTGAGGGTATTCGAATTTGACTGACTCGGATATTTGATACAGTCAGCCGCGGCATTAATAAAGCACATTATTCAATAAGGTAGGGTGAGCCCCGCCTACCTGAATTCTATTGTGGATCACTGCACCTTCCTTTCCGTCGTGCCAGGTCTCAACACGGCAGGCGACACGTGATCACCCATGGCAACGACGTACCTACAAACCATACAGGTGCCGCCCATCTGTACCTTCCACACCTGCCACAAGAGAACCCAACCCTAAGGTATATAACCCCCCTCAATCCCAATTCTGTCACCAGCACAGCAGGCGCCCTCTAGGTCGGGGGTCAGGTCAAACTGTGGCGTGGATGGTGGAATGGTTAATGGTTCAACAATCACTTACGCCAACCAGCCTACTCGACGACAGGCTTAGCGAGTTCGAGTCCCAGCATGAGCACCAAGAGATGTAGCCCCCAAATCGGCACCGGGGGGGTGAACTCTTTTATCAGTTCATGGTGATGAATTATATCGAACATCGCTAACCTCACTGCGCTGTCTGTCGCCGCGCTGGATGGAAGCCGGGCGGAGACTGCATTGAGAGACTGGAGTATCGCGACACCCTATGTCTCGCGGCAGCTCCATGGAGACTTTATGGTGCATAGGTTCTATATACAAATCGACACACGGCTGGTATCCGGTCGTGCTCCTGACTACAGCTGTCAATCAGAAGTCAGCCCCTTTCCACGTCCACCTGGAGCCCTCTCCTATCCAAAAGCGATGTACTCGCGAGTAGCAGGTCCCCGGATAGACGCATAGCCTTAATAAAGAAAGAAGACATCGGTCGCTCTATTTCCATCATTCGAAAGTGTGGACAGGACCTCGGATACTTCTGTATTTATCAAAAACACGTCATCGTATTACCACAGTCAGCCATAGTGCGTAATGTCAAAAGTCAGCTTATATGTCTTGTAGTCAATTCTCTTATTTCACTGGTTTCTACGGACGTGACGAGCCTACCTTCGAAGCTGTGGACTCGGAACAGGATAGGAGACGATAATCCATTGTCATATGACGGACGCCTTTTTGTTGATCAATGTTTCCAAAGACTTGTATTGTGGAAGGAGTACGAGAGCCTCCACCCCTCGTAGTCGTAAAAATAGTAAATGCAGTATGCATGGTCTTCTCCATCGGGTCCTGTCCGTGATGAGAGGGGGCGGAAGGCTGTTGCTTCCTCACGTTTCACCATCTTCTCAAATTCCCTACCCACTATGAAAAAGACAGCATCCGTTACGGCCGATTCGTAGTCCATTATTCCCGTCGCCGTCACCTCGCACAGCAAGTCTCCTTGTAGCTCCTCTGTCCTTTCCGAAGTGATCCTTCACGTCAAACCACGCAAGATCTCCAAATTGCCCTTCACTCCGAGATATGTAAGGCAATTTTGGACTGAGCATAAGATGAAAACCCAGTCATTCACATCTAGAGAGATCCGGACAGATCCGTATCCATTCACACGGCACCTTTCTTCGGAGCGCATCGAGGTCTCACGTAGATCCTCACCCTCCGCCAGGGATCTTGGCCGGTCTTACCTACGAGATCCAGAAATTCCAAAAGGCATACCGGCCGCCTCGTTCCGTCGGGTATAAAAGGATCGTCGCCCAAGAGCCGTTTGACTAAAGACAGGGCACTTGTGACTGGGCCATTAATTACTCTTGAGTTCTCGGGCATTCTTCGCCTCGTTGGAAGGCTAGCTACACGCAAAAGTCGCGCTGATAGTTTCGCCAATAGCTTCGTCACCAGCTTCAAGAGCGGATGATACTGCACAGCACTCGTTACCGCTCAGTTGTCCAACCTTTCAGCTGCATATTCGAGGCTGAATACATCACAGATAGCCGCGCAGCGAGAGGCTCAAGGAATTCGACCCGCGACTGATTCAATTCTAACCATCAAGTCCAGTCTCTCTTCTCACGACATCTGGCGCCCGCAGTATCAACTGTTCTAGGCGCCACTGCATTTCTGGTCTTCTCTTCCTCGATCGCGCGGACTTACTTCTCGGAGATGAGATGTCCTGTGCGATATTGCTGGGGCGGCCTGTGGCCAACAACGACCTTCACTCTCCGCAGACGGTAGGTATATAAAATGGTACATGAGACCAGGCAGGACGGACAGATATACAGCTTGCTACAGCCAGTATCGCCCTCATTCTACATAATCCAGTCACCATTTTGTAGTCACGAAATGATAGCACAACTACGTCCGGCCCGTGGAACCACAAAATTACACACTCGAGTGAGTCTCCTCCCTTTCTTGTATGATTGTATCGAGCAAAACATGCTGACTTTGTCCACTCTACTTTGGCTAGCATAGGACTGAAATAAGGACTAGCTGTCCAAGGCACGAACAGGTGAGTTCTCTAACAAATCAAGGCGATGCCATTGAGTAAGTCATACCTCTACGCATGGCTTTCCGTCAAAAATAAAGAGGGCAATTCATGTATTTCAAGGCATGCACAGTTCCGGTAGATTGAATATGCGGCCATTACCCTGCTGTGATGGATGTGAGCAATCCACGAGACAGTCAATGACTTGAACATTGATTGCAGTCCCGGCAAGCCGTCACGCACTTGCTTGTTACCTTGTACATCAACGCTTGCAACACCACTGCAACGGCTACTCTCGGCAGGCAAAAAGCGTATAAGCCAAGCAAGAAGCAAGCATCGACCATCTAATATACGTGCCCCTGGGTGGAACAATGCAACGTACGAGAAGGCTCGAAACGAAACGAGGTTGCATCTGATGTTTGACACGTGCGGGAGCTCTGACGTCGAGCTCTCGTCTTTTAAACTCTGGAGAATGGAGACCTGTTCGCCTCAACTTCCACCCCCCCCCTCCCCTGAGAGCGAAACCGTCGTAAAAGAGAACGGAATCACACGTTGATGAAACCTTGAGGGGTCTAGGTAGCCTAAGCAGTTTCGCGAAGGGGCGGCGGCGGACGTTTTGCAAGTTTCGAGAAGTCTGACTTCTGAAGTTCTTCCAACGTGTTGACAATGATACGGCGGACAGGCCGGGGGAAACCACGGGGACGTGCGACCAGAAGCAGTTCTCTTTGGGGTTGTTCATGTTGCGACATCGGTTGAACACCCGAAGTGACGAACGTGGGAAGTTGGCAGGGGTGTGCTGGATGAGTCGATCGTCATCAAATCAGCAGAGGTCGACCGGGCCCTAAATGCAGCCTCTCCTGTGGTGTAATTGCCGAAACTTGCGTCCTGGTCCCGCGATCTGCTCAGTTATCGCAGTCGTTTGGGGGCATCTCCCACGCGGGAAAGAAATTTGAGAGTGGGGGGCAAAGCAGCTCATCGTCGTCCGTGATTGAGGCTATGGAGGAGATTGGGCGCGTGATCGAACATCAATCCATGGCGAGGGCCTAGGGTTGTCTCAGTTCGGGAACCGTCCTTGTCTGAGTCTGGAGCTTCCACCCCTTCTTCCCCGCAATTTCCTGGCGCGGTAAGATCTTGGGAGATGAGATCCGTTCGTGAAATCGAGAGCGGGAATTAACAGTGCGACATGTTGGCTAATCCGCAATTTGCAAAGGGAGCAAAGTCAAAAGGTTTACCAGTACACTACGCAGTCACGCAGTACAGCTAGAGATGTGTAGCTCATAGACTCTGGCGAAGCACGAGGCGTTAAAGGGTTGGCAGGCTGGCAGCAACATGCGATCCCAAGGTAGCCGGAAGCCGCAAGCAGTATGATGTAAGAATAAGGGGACCGTTGCAGAGGCAGCTCGCGAGGGGATGGAAATGATTGGAACACCACACGTTCGCCTCGGAGGTCGCTTCTACTGCGTCTGCAGTTGTAGGGCTCAAGTGTTCGGACCGTCGTGTCAGAGAAGTAGCTGCAGCGGCTGACGGCAGCAACATAGTTGGGGATGGCGCTGGCGCGAGGTGGCTGGATTGGTGCCAGGGGCGCGCGGGATTGTGATAATTTGGGCGAAATCTCTACTAGTTGAGAGATAGCAGGTGAAGTATGCCTCCGGGGGTGGCTGGGTGGCTGGAAGATTCAGGGGAAAGGGGCGATTCTTCGGAATCAGATCATGTTGTCTGCAATTGACGCAATTATTTGGTCGAAGACAGTGTGTAGACCGGATTGTCGTGTCCTGTCATGAGAGGATTCTTGCAGCTAGTTAGAGATAAGGTAAGAACGAAAGCAATTGACGAGGTTTAAGGTGCGTCAAGGGACCCCGGTGAGGGGAGGTTGGAGGTCGACCTGGGAGCACAGAATTCCGACCATGCACGTTCGACTTGGAATTCCCCAGTGTCACATCGGGGTTGAACTCGGTGTGAAAATCAAACCGGCGGTGGCGCCTGGGCAGGAAACGGTTGCAGAGAAAAGCTGACGAGGATACATGAAGACTTGAGGCGCAACGGCCCCCCCTGGGCAAAGAGGTGTTCGGTTCGAGGGGAAGCGGCTCGGGCAAGTTGCAACAAAAGGGCGGCTCCACAACGGCGGCGAGAACGATACTGGCGTGCCGTATCTGGGAGTGTCTGGTGCGGTAGTGTCGGAATAGTAGGAGGCATTCGAAATTAGTTGCACGCCTAGCTTCATCCCACGTCTGAAGCACACACCAGACGGAGATATTTCTGGCCTGTCGCGTCTGCGTTAGCACAGGGTATAGCTCAGGTACGGCGGTAAGGTAAGGTAATGCGAGGCGAGAGGAGGCCAAGTAAGAAACGGTGAGGAGGTACGGAGTAAGGTGAAGGGCAGGGGAAGTTTCGAGGAGCAAGAGAAAGAGGAGGCTGGGCGTAGGAGGGGTTTGCAGTTTGCAGATCCTGCTAGAGCCTAAGGTAAGGTAGAGGCAGTCTTTGTCAGTGGCAGTCGTGAATCGTGATCCTGGACTTGGTGTTGGTTTGCTGGCGCTGGGTGGATCAAGGAGTGATGGATACGCAGGATGGATGGATGCGACATCGCTGGGAGTCACTTGCGATCTTTGGGTTCACATACATGAGGTGCAGCTGCCAGCCATAGCGGGGGTTTCTCAGGCTCACCTGCTTCAACTTAACTCGTACGAAGTATTTCCCCCCAAGGTTCTTGCCCATCTACCTTAGGTACCTTAGACGATGCAGAAATGAATGTGGAAAGCACGAAAGGGTCCCAGTTCTCTCCTGCCATGAATGGTCAGGATAATTAGGTAGGTACCTTCCTGGAAAGTAAGGTAGGGTAAGCGTAGGCAGGTACGGTACCTACCTTGTGATTTCCTTCCGATGATAATTCTCGGAATGTCTGGCAGGTCCTTGCCGATTCAAAGTTCGCTGAGGAGGGAAGGTGCTGCTGCGCTTGTCCCATTCTGTAACACTGCGACGCTGTGACGGCGAAGCCTCACCTTCTCGACCCTTCCTTGACACTAACGTAGGTAGTCGGGCCCTCGGAACTTTTGGGATATTTCGGGACATGCCATTAAAACTGAACGTCACATGTTGGAATTTACTCTCGGTCTGTACTTAGAGACGGGACAGACAAACTACAATGGCACAGTGAACAGTGAAAAGTGATTCTGCTGCAGAGGCGAGAGAGAGAGAAAACGTCCAGAGACATGAACCGTTGAAGAACCTGAGGAATGAATGCCCACTCGTCCTCACCGACTGACCGACAAGCAAAGGGGGTTAACACACCGACCTCCATCATTGGCATCGTTGGGCCGTTGGATCAGGTGTAACTTGTAAGCGCCTAGGCCGATGTGGTTGTCGTCATATTTCAGAGACACACCGCTGATGAGCAAGCACTGCACCGCGGACGTCTGACGGTGGAGCCCGCGCCCAAGCCTGCGCGCAGACGGAGTTCAAGGTTGCAGACTGGACCACCTCAGACCGTTCACTGCGTCCAGACCGCCGTCCACGGTCCGCAGATTCCACGCACCTCACACACACACTCAGCCCAGCCTAGAGCGCATCGCAGCCCAGTTCAGCGCGACGTTGGACACTGGCGTCGCCGAACGAGGGACGGTCCCGTCACCGTCAGTTCAGGTCAAGTCGAATTGGGCCGGACCAACTGCGCCTGCAACCTTCAGACCACCACACCTCACACACCACATCAGTGACCACACACACTTTAAGACGACCTGACGGACGACTTTTGCGCCGCCCACCTTCCCACACCCCCGACCCCAGCAATTATTTCTCTGCCACGCGCGCAATTTTGGGGGTTCCCGCCGCTCAATTCTCATCTCTCAACTTTTTCCTTCCTCTTTTTTTTTTTTCAACAAACCTCTCCTTCCTACCTTCTTCCTGTTGTTCGAAGATCGAATCCTCACCTGCCCTTTCCTTCACATTGTTCCTGCCGACAACGAGGCACTCGCACCGAACCGAGTAATTCTAATTGCCCCTCTTTCGAAAAGAAGCAGCCCTCAAATCCATCACAATGGGCACTTACAAGTTTACCTGGTATGCTCATCGACTCCGCCCGCATTTCCCCTTCCCCGCCACGCCTATCTCTTTCTCTAGGCTCTGAGTCTCGATACCCTTACATCACTACTGGAATGCGACGGGAGCCCAATTCCCCTCCTTGCATTGCTTCTCTGCCGTTCGGCGGTTGGAAACGGCGGCTGGCTTGCATGCTTTCGTCAAAGGACATGTGGAATGCAAACCTTCTTTCACATGGTCATTTGGCCCCGTCCACGGCGACCTCACCACCACCATTGGCACCGTTCGCATCGTCTCCAGCGAAAGAAAAAAGCAAGCCTCGCAGTTAGACCGAAAACCTTGCTAACCTTTGCGTCCCACTGTAGGGCTCATCCGGCCGAGGAGGTTTATGTTACCGGCACTTTCGACAACTGGACTAAGAGCGAGAAGTTGGAAAAGGTCGGCAGCTCTTTCGAGAAGACCGTCACACTCGCCGACGCATCGGAGAAGATCTACTATAAGGTTCGTACCAGCCAATTCAGGCGCTTTTCCTTGTACCCGTAAACATTGGTCCATCCCACCCGGATTTTTCGAACACGACGGCAACACCGGAATCCCTTATCACGGCGCGCAATTGTTGGGAACCCTCTCGGCCTATGGAGGGGCAGCGACGACAGCGGCGACAGCACAGGCGGCGAAGGCGATGGTTGTATGAGAGCGCGAACAAGGGCCTCGATCGAAAGCAGCGACGCCGCCTCGCTCAGCCCGCGACAGCATCCGTGCACCCATCCAGGTCCCTTGTCCATCAATCGCAATCGCTGTTCCCCCGTCTTGGAGGGGGAAGAAGGGCTACCAGGCCAATTACTGGTGGAAGCTTCTCCCCAGCTCCAGGGCAGCTCTAGTTCCAGCTTCCCCGTCAGCTGCAGGCCAGAGCTCGGTTGCGGCTCGTCATAGGATCGGGCTTTTATCACCATCTCGCAATTTGGCGTGTCCAGGCCCCTGGCCCTCACGCAATTTGCTTCGCGCTCCGCTGAGCCACACAAATTCTGCTGGGGTCTTTTCGGTGTTCTCTGGACTTTTCTTACTATTGTTTCCTACGGCCACATTGCGTTGTCGGCTTTTTTCCCCCTCCTTTCGCACTAACGCCGCTGCTTTCCCTTTGGGGGTTTCTGCTGCTCTGTCTGTCTGCTCCCCGCGTATTGCGGCTTTGCCTGCGCAATCGGGGCTGCAAAACATATCCCAGACTGGCGCTGCATATGGCTGTAATGGGTAAATTGGAGACAGAAAAAGAAGAGTCACACGCGGGTTTCGGAGGCTGGTTGTTGCTGGCCGACTATCCCGGCTCCGAATGACGCAAACCCACCAGTGCTTGCAGCAGCTTACTGCGGCAGAAGCACAGCAGCGGCGTGGTTGCCTTGAGTCTGAACGCAGGTTGAGGTGGCCCAGGTGGGCAATTGGCAAGATTGGCTGGCGGATCCCGAGCAGAGCGGCGGGTGGGAGCTCCGCTTTTCCACAGGTCCAAAAAAGCAATGAACAAGGTTTTCCAGGTTCATTGCTCCTTTTGTATTCTGTGGGGAGCGAAAAGAGCGTCAATCTCGACCAGGGTCCCCCATGCGTGGATGGTCGCGTTCGCAGCTGCGTGTGGCCTTTTCGCAAATTGCAACGCAAGAAAGAAGAGAGACACCGGAGAGCGGCAGGATCCAGAACCAGCAGCCACCATGGACCATGGCACCTTTCATCACACAACAATGTGCCAAAATGTCTAGCAACTTTCGGGGTTAGCCTTCCAGACTAGGTGCCACCAAACATGGCACACCCCCAAGGCACCTAGGGTACACAAGGACAAGCACCACCACGGCCACCACCACCACCCAGCCCACGCCAGGAACCAACAGCCATGCCCGTGGCCAAGGAATAAGCGGCAGCGCAACGCGCCAGGAACCACCGCAGCCTTCCAATTTGCCTGGGATCTCATTCTGGCGGATACGGGCTATCTTTCCTCACCTGGCAGACTGGCCTTTATAACCATCGCCGACACCCAGATCGCGCTCCCAGCTGATCTCCCACATTTGGTTCGCCGCGCGTCGTCATATCTGCCCCCCCAAAGGACCCATTGCACCACCTCTGTGTTGCCCACCGGATTTCGCTTAAAAACATCGTCATCGTTGACAATTTTTACTGACTTGCTTTCTCTTCCCCCCTCTATAGTTTGTCGTCGACAACAATTGGATCACAGACCACACTGCTCCTCAAGAGCCTGATCACGAGGGCAACGTAAACAACTTCCTGACCCCCGACCAAATCGTCAAGGAGGACACTACCGCCGCAATCATGAACACTGTTACCCCCGAATCTACTACCGCCGCCTTGGCCAAGGACGTGCCTCTCGAGAAGGAGGAGCTTCCCCAGGCTACCCCCTCCGACATTCCCGGCGGCTTTCCCGTCACCCCCGCCAATGAGCTTGACAAGTTCATCGGCGTGAATCCTATCCCCGCCCAAGATGTTACCGCCGAGCCCGTAACCGTCGCACCTGGCGAACCCCTTCCCGCATCTGTCAAGGCTGGCGATATCAACGACCACGTCAAGCTTGACAAGGAAGGTTACGAGGACTCTAGCGCTCTGCCTGGCCTCTCCAAGGAGGAGACCACCGTCCCTGAGGTCACCAGCAACACAATCCCTGAGTCCAGCTTGCCCATTGGGACCGCGGATGCCACCATCAACAGTGCCGCACCCACATCCACTACCGCTGCTCTGGCTGCTGAGGTTCCTCTTGAGACCAAGACTGCCGAGGTTCCCGAAGTTGTCAAGGAGAGCCAAGAGAAGGCTCACGCCGAGCCTGAGGCCAGTGCAAACCCCGAGGCTGTCCAGGAGAAGGCTATTGTTGAGGACGAGCTCCTCGAAAAGGTCCCCACCGCTCCCTCGACATCTGAGGGCACTGCCGGCTTCGGCACTCAGAAGACTGAGGCCGCTGGCGTCGTCGTTGCTACCGCTGCCACTGTTGGTGGTCTCGCTGCTGCCGCTGCCATCAACGCCAAGGACACTGTAGTCGAGGCTGCTGCTCCTCACGTTGAGCAGGCTACCGTTGCCGCCACTGACGCCGCCGCTCAGCTCCCCGAGCCCGTCAAGGAGAGCCTGCCCGTGAGTGTTCAGGAGGCTATCGGCGGTCAAACTAAGGAGGAGACCCGTGAAGAGGTCGCTCCCGAAGTTCCCACTGTGGTCAAGGAGTCTATTGCCGAGGCCGGCAAGAGCCCCGAGGCTGCCGCCAACACCGAGGCCGTTATCGAGAAGAAGGAGGTTGAGGCTGAGCTCCTCAAGGAGGTCAAGCCTGTCCCCGCCGTCGGTGAGGAGACCAAGGTCGAGGCCGAGAAGCCCAAGGTCGAGGCTGCCAAGGAGGAGGTCAAGGAGACCAAGGAAGAAGTTAAGGAGGGCGAGAAGACCAAGACTGAGGCCGTCAAGGAAGAGGCCAAGCTTGCCAAGGAGGAGGTTAAGGCCGCCGTCACCAAGGACGAGTCTACCAACGGTGCCAACGGCGTTCACACTACCGCCAACGGTACCAACGGCGCAACCCTCACCTCCACCAAGGAGCCCGAAGCCCCCACCACTCCCGCCAAGGCCCCCTCCTCCGTTCCCGAGTCAACGACACCAAGCAACACCAAGGCCGCCGAGAGCCCTTCGGGCACCGAGAAGAAGAAGAAGAACCGTCTGAGTGCCTTCATCGGCAAGCTCAAGGCCAAGGTGCACAGCAAATAAGCGGCTTAATGATGATGACGTTCGCCGTTAGGATGTATGTGGATGGGAGGCTTCGTCTTTCGCCTCGGCTCTTATGGATTTTCTTGTCGGGTGCTGCGTATTCGGGTTGTTTGTCGTTTCTATGATTCCCCTGGTCCACTTTGCATGTGCAAGAGCTCGAGAGGTAGAATGAGGCATGGCAGCTGTATGTCGACGACGTTGGAAGTACGGCCATTTCTGTTGGGCCTCTAGAATTAATTGAGGGTGATGTGGCTGCCGCCTCTTTCAGTTTTGCTCATTTTGTTGATACTTCACACGGCTCATCTGCATCGGACTATCCTGTACCGTAATACCTCGTTCGAGCCTAATTTGCATATGATCAATTGAGCCAATCTAATAAGTTAGTAAACACTGATAACTGTCTGATGGTGGAGCATGCGTGTGATATTTCCTACTGACTGATGAGATCGATGAAGTTGTCGCAACAGAGAGTAGGTCAACAAGGTGGTAGGTAAAGTCAAATAGAGTCAATTGTGACTCGACACGCCGTTTTGATATGTCACATCAAGCCCACTGCGCCAGGTGCCCGGTACAGATGTACAGACAGGTTCAGACTGCGCGTCAAACGAAACAGCCCAGTTGATACACGCAAGAGACCTTGAGTCGTGACTGGCAACGGCGGAGGCGACTGAGTCACGTGATGTTTCCAGCTGTTCGGACAGCCAGGTACGTATTCCCGGGTGCCGAGCTTTCCCTCATGAGCGTCACGGCAACTTCGATTTGCCCCGCCAATGACTCTACGTACTGTTGCTGCTACAGCTGCTGCATCCTCTTGACATCCGATTACCTGATCTCCACCCGTCACTCATGGGGTCCGTCCACTTTGGACCCCGTCTCCTTCTACACTCAACATCTTCATTCACCTAGCCAGAGCCCTTCAGCCGAAGTGTTCAAGTCTCTTTTACCTCTCTCCTCCTTGATATACCTGTTTTTTTCTTCGATAGCACCGGGTCAGTTGGCCTGTCGTGGCAACCCCTGGTCCGTCCTTTCGTTCCTTTCGCTCGTACTCCATTGCATCACGACATTGACCGAGGGGGGCCGATCGAATCGATCAATCTTCTCGCCAGCGGACAAGCTGTTGCGTCACGTTCACTTACGATAGCCGGGTACCCGAATATGAGCTTGACTCCGTCAAATTTGGGCAAGTCCCTTTCAGCATCGACTTCCCATTCGCCTTCGATCCAGCCTGGTCCCGTCACCACGAGCATCGAATCCAACCGCCGCCCCTCCCAACCCAGTCCTTCATTCCCTCACGCAGCCCCCCGAAAGGGCCAGGGCTCTCGGAAGCAACACAAGATGCAGCGAAGACCGGGACTCGGCGACTCCAGACACGCAAACCCAGACGATGACGATGCCATGGCCGAGATACGGGCCATAGGGAATACCAATAGTCGACGAGGCCAAACATCAATTACACACCTTCTAAACTACAGTCGTCCGCCGAGCGCTTACGCGGATCATCATTCTTATGCTCGGAATTATAGACGGAATCCGACCTGGGGACCTGGTTCAGGACACCACGCCGTAGACAAGGCGAGATACGTTCATGCGAATTACAGATTTGTCGTTTCGCCGGAAGGCAATTACGCTAGCCAGGCGGCTGACGCCGATGTTCACATCGATTGGAATAACGTCCTGCAGATTTTGGCCTCATCCGTGTCGCAGGGGGCTAGTTGCCCAATCTGTTTGTCAGAGCCGGTGGCCCCACGTATGGCAAAGTGCGGCCACATTTTCTGCCTTCCATGCCTGATTCGGTTTATGAACTCGACAGATGAGGACTCGAAGCATGGCAAAGGTGCAAGGTGGAAGAAATGCCCGCTCTGCGAAGACAGCGTCTACCTCCACGAGACGCGGCCCGTGCGTTTCTACGCTGGACAAGAGAGCCCTCTGCCACGAGTTGGCGACGACGTTGTGCTACGCCTAATGGCCCGGACAGCCAAGTCGACCCTCGCATTGCCGTGGGAGAATGGTTCTGACGCGCTCAACGTGTCGGACGACGTGCCCTGGCACTTTGCAGTCAATGTTCTAGATTATGCTAGGATCATGAAGGGAACTGGAGACTATATGTTGGAGCAATTTGACGAAGAAATCGAGGCGCTGCGGAAACAGGGGACCGAGGATCAGCTTCTTTACCACGACGATGATGAATGGACGAAGAAGGCGATCCGGGCCATCGATGCGGCGAAGGAGAAGGTACAGGATCTTGGCAAGAACGACTCCATGCTGCCAAACAAGAAGCTTGGCAACCAGAACAAGACGGTTCAGCCTGACTTTTACTTCTACTCATCACAACCGCATCTCTACCTCTCAGCTCTCGATATTCGTATATTAAAGACGAAATATGGCGACTTCTCTGCATTTCCATCCACGTTGTTGCCTCGCGTCGAGCACATTTCGACCGGCCACGTTCTGGATGAGGTGCAGAGAAAACGAGCCAAGTACCTGGGTCATCTTCCGTACGGTTGCCGAATCAGCTTCCTGGAATGCGATTGGACAGACATAGTGTCGGCAGATGTCCTCGAGAAATTCGCCGATGAGATCGGCCGACGGAGGAAGCGGAATCTCGACAAGGCGGTACAGGAAGAACGCGAGAGGGTTCAGTCGGAAAGAATTGAGGCTGCCCAGTTCAAGAGCACTGCGGCTATGAGGCGTGATTATGGACCGATCGAAGAGGACCACGTTCCTGCATTGAACTTGGAAGAGTTCCAACCCCTATCAAGCCATGCCAACGCTACGCCGCCCGATCCACGACCAGGTTTCGAGCATCTCGCAACCATTTCTACGAGTCCTTCCACGCAGAAAACCGTGTGGGGCACTCATGTCGTGCCTGGGTCTCCTGAGCTTGCCCCGGCATCAATGCGTCCGCATGATGACGGGTGGCTCAAGGATGAAGATTTGTTTGGCCCTCCAGAGCTTTCTTTCCACATGGAGGCTTTGAGTATGACCGAGCCCGGTCCCTCTAGCAGTAGTGCCGCCTTTGGGGCAGCTGGTAGCAGCAGCAACGGTGGCAGCAGCGGCAACAGCGGCGGTGGAGCAGGAGGCGGCGGCAAGGGAAAGAAGAAGAAGCAGAAGATCACACTGATGAGCACCGGTGGGCGTAGGCAAGGATAAGCGGATCTAGTGTAGTACGAAGTGAGACGTGTGGATGGCAAGCGACTTGCGGAATTGCAAAGCGTTGTTTTGGAGACGCAGACTCTGATTTTAGTGAGGTAGAGTCGGGTATTGGGCTGGGGAGTTATAAGAGGAAGTTTGTCACACCTGCTTCAATCAATCTATTAAAGAATCCAAAAATCAGAATGGTTTCCATCCCACTTACCCATACTTCAGGAGAAAGGTATTGGTTGATATTGCAAGAGGGTATTCCAGAGCATCGTCGCAGAGGGCAAAGATATCCATCCCACAGAGTCCCTGGCAGATTCTATAACTCTTGGAAGTTCTCATTGACGCGTGTATATAAAGAACTATTCTGTTGTCAATAGCCATGTTCCAAAGCAAGCACAGCAGAGTTCGGTTGGCGGCTGATTGCTCGTTGAAGAAGATTCTACTCTCTTTCCGTTGCTTTCGATTGTGTGTGAACTAGATCTTGGACTCCCCAGCTTTATAGAAAGAGCAAGCCAGAACTTCAAGCGTCTCTTTTATCGCGTTCGAGCCTCGGTGATGTTCGTGGGCGAATACGTTGAGCGGGATAGCTGTTATTGGATAACGAGGGGTTGTGTTTTGTTACTGTGTGTTCTGGATATGTGTCTAAGGTAAGTTAGGTGGTATTGGCATATAGGAGAGTTTACCCTGAGGATCCAGGACCCGAAGCAGAAACTCATTATGGCTTAGTACTACTAGGCTAATCATTTCAGCATTTGTTAGTCGTCCTTCGACATCGAGCCGTTCTACTTTTATAATATGACAGGATCACGTGCAGGTGAGTGTTGTTGATAATGTCCTCATGAGGAAGGATCTATCTCATTTAGATTCATTCATGGGTGCTCTAGACTATATGATATACCGCTTTATAAAAGCTCTTAAAGTGCCATGCTTCAAAGCAGAGGAGAGAGGAATAACTTCGTTATAGCATGTCCGTTACTGACGTTACGATCCTTAAGAAGCACCTGGGGGTTCACTCGTTCTCGCATGCTCCAGAGTAAATGTCTTCCTATCTTAAATAAGCTCTTGACGTGTCATACTCTTGTAGGCATAATAAGAAAGGAATCCTTTAGGCATAGAGGATCACATACATGTCACTGATAGTACGTATCTTAGGAAAGGTTTAATTTAATATATTAATATACGGTATAGATTAGTTTTTATATCGTCTTAAGAGAAAGACCTATATGCATTATTTCTAGAAAAATAAAGCGTAAAGTCGTAAATCTATTTATTAAAAAGACGCTTATAGTACTGCTCCTGCTACGGGTCGTAGGGGTGTTTATTTAGTATTCCTTCTTAGACCCATAATACTCATGCTATTAGGATGGATATCAGTGCTTATAACATAGTTTTTTAGACTACATTAAAGAGATAGGTCTCTTGATTAGGCTTTAAATTCCTATACCTATCTATGGGATAATACGGTTGCATCGATAAGTCAGTCACACCGGCCGAGAATAATCCTAAGCTCGCTAAGAGCAAGACTATAGTAGCCCTTCCCTATTTAGTAAAAGAAGGGCAAGAAACTACTGGCACCGACAAGGGCTTAAAGGAAGGAGTAAATAGACTATGCACTCCTTTCTCTCTAGCAAGGTAAGTCTGGCTCAGGCCGCTACCTCATTAACCGCTGCCACCGGGCATGGCTGGCATTGTGGGCACTGCTCAAAGAATACCTGCTAGAGTATCAATGGCGTTTTTAATGTTCCTTGTGCTTAAGAAAGGTCACTAGATATGAAGTAGAAAGTAAAAAAGAATGCTAAACTTGTGTCTCGCACTTGTCGCAGCGATCGTTCATCCGAACCGTGCAGCCAGCTATATCAGGCATCGGAGAGTCTAAGAAACTTTGAGCAAGCTCAGTGAGGGCTATAATAACCAATCGTTGAACAAAAGACTGCCCTTATGACTTCCACAATTCTCGTCGTTCCCCTGTTCAGCTTCCATCGTTGCTGGGTCCAGCCTGGAGTGTAAGTCTGGTGAGGAGCTCTGTCAATGACAACGGATATAAAGTCCCTAGCAAACAAAGGGCAATTAGAAAAAGGGGATGCCTCCCGTTCCCAATTCGCTCTCTCAATTCGCGGGACGTATTCGTTGTATAATACGTAACGGAGAACGAACGAGTAATAGAGAAAGGAGGCTTTTAATAAATTTGCACTTGTGGTTTTTAGGGACTTGGTACTACCTTCGGATTCGGTCTTGTCTTGCACTAGGCTCTCGGCCTCGGAGCATGCTCGAAGTGCCGCAAGATGGATACCGCGCTAGATTCAGCCTTGAGTAAGAGTCTTATAAGTAGATCCGTCAATAACAGCGAAGACAAAGTTCCTAGAAAAGGAAGGGCAATTGAGATATAGGGAAGGATGCCTTCCGTTTCTAAGTTACTCCTACTCTCCCGACTCGCTGACCGTATTCGTTGTGTACTACTTAAGGGAGAATCAACGGGCAGTAACGAAGGAGGCTTGGGTTAACGTTGCACTTGTGGATTCTACCTTAGGGGACGGAATCTATGCTTGCGCACTTCTCAGTACCGCGGGCTTGCTCGAACTGCCGTGAGGTCGGCAACAGAGCGTGGAGCATACACCTGAGAGACCTCTGCAGTAGGTAGCTGGGGGCCACTTATCGTTACTTATATATGTCAGTCGTGAGGTAATTTGGGCTCACCACCGAGGAGTAATTCTCAGCATGTGTAACCATTGCCGGTGGCAAGTCTTGCCTGTTGATTATCAGGGTCTCAAGCTCCATCTCCAGATCACAAACCAGCATTGCGGACTCAGGAATCATCCCCAGAAACTCATCCTGACCACTTCCTATCATTCAACATTTACATAAAACAACTCTAGGATATCACGCCGCAAAAATCTTCATGAGCCCCTCCAACGCCATATTCCCACCGCTAAAAACCAACCCCAAATCCCACCCCGTCTCGCCAGCCTCCTTTTCGACCATGGCCCTGAAATCCTCATTAAACAGCGCCACCGCCAGGGGCACCGCACCGCTCGGCTCGACAACGAGTTTGAACCGCTCAAACACGAGCTTCGTCGCCGCCTTGATCTCCTCCTCGGACACGCTGTACATGTTCTCCACCAGCCGGCGCTCGTAGATGACGGACCAGGGGTGCTTGCCCACGGGCGTTCTCAACCCATCAGCGACCGTCAGCGTCTTTACGCTCTCGACGCGTTTCCCCGCTTCGAAGCCGCGCTTGCAGTCGTCGGCGCCCTGAAACTCTGGTTCCGCCCCAAAGACCCGGATTCCCGTCCCTTCGCAGCTCAGCGCTACGCCGGAGAGCATGCCGCCGCCTCCGCAAGGCGTCATGATCGCGTCCAGACCCTTCTGCGTCACCCCGTCTCCGTTGGACACAGCCACAGGAAGACCCGTCGAGTTAAACGTCGGGTTCTCGGCAGAGTGGCCTGCGGCCAGGAGATCGCGCACCTGCTCTTGCAGCTCGAGGCCCATCGTCCCTTGGCCCAGCATGATGTCCGGGTGATCGTAGGGCGGCACGAGGCGGGCGCCCGTCTCGGAGATGATGCGGTCGGCGACGGCCTCGCGTTCGACGCTGGTGCTGCCGCTAAAGACGACGTTGGCGCCGTAGCCGCGCGTTGCGGCGATCTTGTTGGGTGGGGAGATGTCCGGCATGACGATATGTGCTGGGATGCCGCTTTCTCTGGCTGCGAGGGCCAGGGCTTGGGCGTGGTTTCCTGGTTATGTGTTAGTGAATATCCCCTGGAGTCAAGAACTACATATTCAAATAGCCCGCTTCTACGTTCGTTCACTGGACAAGGAACAGGTCTTCATACCTGAGCTATGTGTGACAACACCCTTCTCTTTACCGCCGCTCTCGATCCGCCCAGGCTCCTGCTTCAGCCTCTCAACAGCGTGAAAGGCACCGCGGACCTTGAAGGCGCCGATGCGCTGCAGGTTCTCGCACTTGAACCACAGCCGGAGCACGGGCTTGGCCGGCGTGTGACCTTCCCATTTCGTGCCCTTGAGGTCCTCGGGTGTCCGCGGCGTCGACGCCAGCGCCGAAAGGGTCTTGTTGGTGAGTACTGGGGTGTAGTGGACGTGCGGCTTGACGAGCTTGTGAGCTTCGACGACGGAGGCCCGGGTTAGGGGTAGACAGGTTGTGAGGTCGGCCATGCTGCGTTTCTGTTGTGTTCACGATGGGCGGCGCAAGTGCTACGTCGTGTGAGCGTGAGTGTCAGTAAATTATGGCGAAAGTGTCGCAAGTCCGCCCTGTAAACAGAGTAAAGCAATGAATAGACACCAGGGCTAGACGAAATTTTATCAAGTCAGAGAGGTGAGATTGAGATTGAAATGAGACGTGTCGTGAAGGCGTGGGCGGCAAAGTAAAAGGGACTTCCGATGCCGGGATCGGGACTTTGGTGGTGGCGTGCGGTTGCCTTTACGCCCTCCGGACGGGGGCGACCCCGCTTGAGTCGTGGGATTCGGCGGTTGTCTCCGAAAAGGCTCCCCGGGCCACACCTGCAATTATCGGTGAAATGACCACACACATCTGCTTTTCCCGCGGGTAATATTAAAGCCGCATACCAATACACTAAAACTGATGGTTGATCATAACTCACTCGTGGGATCTGGAATCGTCAGGAACATTCTAACAAGTGTTCTATGAATCGGTCAAGAAAGTGCATGACTGATTGTATCTACACTAGGCGTTGACTCAGTCCGTTGGTTGGCCCTCCTCCGCATCCTACCAAGATCCCTTCCCCATTGCCCAAAACTCACCCATAACATTTTAATTCCCCATTAGAAATTGTGAGAGGCCGTCCTTCGACACGCGATGTCTTGACTGGTGATCCTTAACCGCAGCAAAGCCAGCAAAGCTGTGTAAACATCAATCTCTCACAATGGCGGTACTCACCTAACCTGCATCTCTACGACGAAACGGAGGATTGTACAGCTGAGAGCAAAAACACGACATAATCACATCTATCCATCGCCTCGTAGTCGGGAGGAATGCGGTTGAATATGACTTGGCGAGCTTGGGTTAGGTGAGGTAGGTATCCCAAAGATTCGGCATGCGTCCCTGGCAGCGACAGGGATCACGTCGCCGTTCTCCAGCGCGGGGCATTTCCGACCCATCCACAATACAGCGCGGGGTACTCGGGGACTAGATCGCACTCGCTAGCGCCGGTTGACCTAGATTCATGACTTCATTCCCATTCGCCGTCTTTCATTCTTTCTCATACTTTATTACGAACTGAAACATCAATCATCTTTCTCATAGTCTTAAGAACCCGTTTGAATCTCACTGATCCAACAAAACAAATCATCATACACCCATCAAAGCATCTCTCAACCCCACCATACAGAGAGAGATATCTCTCACCCCTCTATCCACCAAACATCCACCCGCACAACCTCGGTATAAGAAGCCCATCATGACAACCGACCCAAACAAACTCTCGACAGCCTTCTCAAACACCCCGCTAGCCCACCACGGCCAGAAATGGTCCTCCTTCTGGGAAGAGAAATTCACCCCCTGGGACCGCGGCGGACCCTCCCTAGCCCTCCTCGACATCCTCACCACCCGCCCAGACCTCATCCCGCCTCCCCCTGCCCCATCATCCCCAGAACACCAACAACAACAGGATTCCCCACAGAAGCCAACGGCCCTCGTTCCCGGGTGCGGTAAAGGTCACGACGCCCTCCTCCTAGCAAACCTAGGCTATGACGTCCTCGGCCTAGACTTTTCACCTACTGCTATTGACGAGGCAAAGGAGAACCAAAAGGCTGTAGTTGCTGCCGCCGCCGCCACCGGGGATGGAGATGGAGCAGAGCCGGACGTGAACGCCATCCGCCAACCCAACGGCGCCGAGTCCGGTTCCGTAACGTGGCTCTCGGGCGACTTCTTCTCAGATTCGTGGCTTGAGGCGTGGCCGCGCGAGAACAAGACTTTTGACCTCATCTTTGATTATACTGTAAGTCTCACAACATTCTCCAAATCTTCAAAACAATCCGGAGAGAACCAGAAAAGAAATAGAAAAAACTAACATCCCACCACAAGTTCCTCTGCGCCCTCCCCCCCACAGCACGCCCCCAATGGTCCTCCCGCATATCCTCCCTCCTAAACCCATCCACAGGCCGCCTCATCTGCCTAGAATTCCCGTCCGGCAAACCCCTTTCCCAGCCGGGACCGCCGTGGGGCTTGAACCCGGATATCTACCTCGCCCTGCTTACCCGCCCCGGCCAACCCTTCACGTTCTCGTCTTCGACGCAGGCGGGCGACGAGGCAGACGTCGTCGTCGTCCCGGCTCCGAGCGAGGACGGTGCCGGCCTGAAGCGGTTGGCGCTCGTCAAACCTGCCAGGACGCATCGCGCTGGTATGAATGAGGATGGCTCGGTTCGCGATTGGGTTCATGTCTGGAGTCACTAAGAACTATGACGAAGGTGTCATGGCTCTAGATGGTCTTTTTTGGTAGATTCTCTCTCTTCGGTTAATGATGTATGCCTTTGCCATGCAATGCCCAATTCCATGTCCATCAAGTCATTGTGAACCGTATATACCTCCTCATCACCCCCCAATGAATCACGCCGTCGTCTTCCGCAAAGAGTTATAATGCTCCCCAAGCCCATACCCATGCCGATAATACGCCAACCAAATCTCCTTCTTCTTCTCCTCATCGCTACTACCACCACCATCACCACCCGCCGCCGTCGCGGGCCCAATCCTCTCCGTCCTCCCATCCTGCACAACCCGAATCTCAACCCCATAAACACTCGCCAGCGCCGCAAGCTCAAGCTGACCCCCCCACTCCGCCGTATCCCGGATCCGCCTCACATACCCCTCCAACCCCTCCTCCAAAAACGGCGCAAAGTCATCCGGGTGAGCCGTCATGTACTCCGCCGCCGCCCTCCTCACAATCTTATACGGCAGCTTCTGGGTCGGGTCACTGCTACTCCCTGCTTCTTCAGCACCACCACCACCAGCGAGTGGGATTCCCTTCTCCCTAAGCTGATCCGCCACAGCAGAAAACAAACAATGCCCGTCCGGCGCAATCTCCTTCTCCTCGAGGTCATGCGCTTTAAACTCCTTGAGCATATACGTCTTCTCGATGCCCCGGTGATCCGTCATGCTGCTCGCCTCCTCCTGCACCTTTTCTGCCGCGGCTTCGACCTCAGCTGCCCGCCGCGCCATGCGCTCTTTTTGTCTGTTGCGTTTCTTCCCTTGGCCTTGTGGTACCTGCACCTTCTCTTCTGCCGGTGTTTGGGCGGAGATAGTAGTATCCCTCAACTTCTCCGTGACACCAGCAGTCTCGTCTCTATCTTCGTCTTCGTCCGTATCGTTGTCTTGAACCTCCTCGGCAGCAGCACCACCAGACAGACTCGCAACCTCCTCCTCATGCTTCGCCTTCAACACCCTCTCCAGCTCAGCACACTCGTCGTTGACCCCCTTGCGCGTCTTCTTCGTCGCGTTCTTCTTCTTGCTCGTGATCCGCCCCACGAGATCACGCTGCTCCTTGCGGTGCCGCGTCTGCATCTGCTCCAGCGTTTCGGACTCCATGGTTTTTGTTTCGTGTTTTTGTTTCTCCGTGAAGCACCTTCTCGGATAACAAATTTCCCACGGTAGTGTTTCGGCTCGGTTCGGTCGGTAGAGGTGGATGGAGAGGAGCGAGGTTTCGTATAAGATGGTATGTGAGGGAGGATTCGCGAGGTAGACAGGGAACCGATCTGTGTCTGGTAATGGCGGATGAGGGGGGGCGGGTTCGCGAATAATCCTGCCTGATTCACAGGAAGAATTGAATCTTCGATCGGAGGGGTCAGATAAAGGCGCAAGTTGGGTCAATCAGGCAGGAACCGAGCTGGCGGCGTCGAGAGTGAAAAAACCAGAGCTTCCAAAGTAGCAGTCTTCGTAGTTGTCAATGGAAGCTCCGAGCTCGAAATGTCATGGAGGGGCGAAATTTCTTGGTGGGGGTGTGTTTTCGCTGCTTACGGTGCGGGGTCGGTGCGTGGCCCGGAGAGCAGCCCGTAATTCGACCTCGCCCGAGCACCGCCTACTCGCCGAACGGTTGCCAAGAAGCAGATTTCCTCATCTTACAGTCAGGCTCGACGACCATACTACCCACATCACACCATTAGGACTGAACTTTAAATTTTACAGTATTTGATTGATTGGCCACCTATCCCTAAGGACCTATCTACACCACCTATCTCAAAGGTAACGTCAACACCACATTGTCGACTACCTACATCGTACAGCTCCAACAGCATCTGAGATCAACACCTGCGGTCCTCTAGCCAAACCAGGCATGTTAACATCTCCTTGGCCTACCGATGGCGGCCACCGCCTTTTCATCCTACCAACTCCTTCACGAGGTGGCACAGGAGCCTAGTTCTGTTTCGCCATCCCACACCTTAATTACACATGAGAAATAGTACACAATGGGTATCGTATCGAATGAATGCAATCCCGCGCGCTCCGGCCAATTCGAACCTTTCGCGACAAGAAACAATGTAAAGGACTTGAGATTTTTCACTTAGAAGCCCTTGAACGGGTCATCTCGGAAGTAGTCGTCTTCCACGGTCGCTCGGCTGCTACCGTGGTAGCCGTCTGTTCCGCGCGTCCCGCGAGAGCTATAGCTGTCACGGTGACGGCTGCGACTCTGACGTCTTCGAAGCTCCTTGCTGCGCCTGCGAGCCCGATATCCGTATTCCTCGTACTCATCGGGGTCTCTGTCGAAGCCTGAGTTGCCCAATGGGCTGATGAAGGCCTCCATCCGCACAGTACCAATGGCATCGAAGAAGTTCGCACCTGGAGGTCTTGACGAGGCTTCCGAGGTCCGCTGAGAGCCGGCTGTGCTCATACCCCAGCTTTGCCTGCTTGAGCCTTGAGATGGCTGGGACTGGTAGATATCGGACGAGCCGGCTGTGCCAACGCTGTTGCCAGCATTGCTGTTGGTGTAGCTGTGCTGTCCAACGCTGCCTGGTCCAGAAAATCCACGGAAGGACAGCGGGGGCGGGACGTGGCCTCCGGTATTGCTTCGCTTCCGTCCGTGGACCGCGTTCTGGTTCGAGCGCTCCGTGAACCGAGGGATAAATGGTGGTTCCGCCGCGTCTCCAGAACGCTCACGTTGATGGTTGTTGTTGTTAATGTTGCTGCTGTTGTTGTTACTCGGCATGGGCGGGAATGCCTCCGTTTGTTTGTAGCCAGAGGCGTCGCCTGTCCTGGAAGAGGGGATGCTGGGGATGCTAGGCACACTTGGAACACTTCGCGGTCCGGGATTCTTCATCGAGGGGGCCTTGCTCTTTGTCAGTCGAATGGAGTCACGAATGCCAGGTCGCCTGGTAGGTTGCGGTGGTTCAAAGTCCGGTACCGTGGTTGGTTTCGCAGGTTGGGGAGCAGCGACAATTTCAGGGATTGCTTGGGTCGAGTGTGCCAGGAATGAAAGCGCCGTCAGCCACACGTAGTGCCTCTCGGAAGACGTAGCCGTAAACTTCAACGCTCTTTGCGGAGTCAAAATGAGAATCGAACGGTTGAAAACAGCACCCTGGTTTTTCGGGGCGGGGTTGTCGTCCTTGACGTCGAGTACAGACTGAATGGTTACTGCTTCATGTTAGTCACGGCTTGTGCAGGCCCAAGTACGCAGTACTTACATTTCCGGCCAGTCTTGCCCATCAGGGCACTGCCAGATGAAGGTTGCTTGCTACTCCAGAGGATAGCTCTCTCATACGGAGCTAGCCAGACCCATCGCTTGTGGCGGTCGTTGCTTGAGTCGTCCTTGCTGTTGTCGGGCACCCCAAACGACTTGCGTCTCCTGACGTATTTGAACATCCATTCACCGACCATGGTCTGCGCAATGGCATCGACGACACCCGTGGCTTGCGAGGCGCCGTTGGATGCACCGCCGACAGAGTTAACATCGGTAGTAGCGGTCTGGGCTGTTGTTGTCGATAACCTGGACTTGTGGGACCGGTAGTTCGAGCTGGTGTCGTACCGAGGGCTGGTTATGTCGTTGTAGGGAAGAGGAGGCAGACTAGGGCTCTCCGGCGCTTCGGTTGTCTCCGAGAAGGGCGGCGGAGATCTGCTTTGCCTCCGGTTCCTCTGGTTACGAGGAAGGGCAGCAGCTGATCGCACCTTACGGATACTGTTGGCACGGTGGATGCTGCCGGCACGGTAGTGGTTGCGGCCCATGCCTCGGCGATGCCACGGTGCGTCCATCTTTGTAGGGCTCCGTTGGCCATCGCTCGGAGCGCTGGCACTGAATGGCGGTCGCCGAGAGCTGGCTCTGGTAGGGATGGGGAAAGGAGGGTCGGGTGCACGAGAATCTGGAACACTCGGGCTCCTAGGACGGCCTTGGTGGCTGGCAATTCCGCTCTGGATCATAGCAGCCTTACGCATGACGTTCTTGCCCGAAGGCCCAGGAGCAGCCTTCTCATACCCGCGGGCAGTGGGCTTGGCAGACTGCCTTTTGGGTGCTTCTCTGCTTTCCAGACTGCCTCCATAGCTCTCGTTTGCGGTGGGGCGCATGGAGTTCCTGCTGGGGGCTGACCTCTTCGTTTGTTCCGGCGATGTGAAGGTACTGACCGACGTGCGGTTGGAAGCTCGTGAGTCCGTCATTCTCATGCCAGGGGCAGAGAGGGCGGTTCGGTACTCAGAGTCGCTCATATCAGCATCAAAGTCGTCCGCCTCATCGGAGCTTTGTGCATCTTGAAAGCCGGCGAACAGGCTGCTGATGCGGTGTGGTCGTCTCATAGGTGCTCCTTCTCTCGACAGTGGCCCGTCATCGTTGTTGCCAGGGTATGCGTCGCGGGTTTGCTCGCCAAAGACTGGTGAGACTGGCGGTGAGGAGGGCATGTCTGACAGGCTGCGCTTTGTAGCGAGTCTTCGAGGATTTCTTGGGGGCAAATATCCCGGCACCGGAGTAAAATGGCGTGGGTCGTCACTTGTCACGGCGGTAGCAATACCGATGCTAGGTGATGAGGGCCTAGACGTGATAGCTGAGGGACGCAAATGGACAGGGAGTGTCGCCAGTCGCTTGTCAGAAAGAATCTCCTCCGTCTGAACGGCGGTGGATCTCATGGGCGCTGAGGAGATGATTGATACTTGGCATCCAAAGTCTTTGACGTATTGTGGAAGCCGGTGTTCACGGGGTGTAGTCGGACGACTCGTTGGCGGGATGATACTGATGGACGGGATGGTCAATTCTTGCACCGGTTGCAAAATTGGAGGTGTCTGAGGCTTCTCCACCGGCTTGTCGGTCTGAGTCGAGGAGGAAACCATCACCGTAGGCGGTGTTTCGGGGGGAGGCGGGGTGGCAGATCTGTAGGGTGACTTTGGCGTTTTCGGAGGGCTCAAAGGCTCCTCAACAGTCTGTGAACCAGCAGAAACCATGTGGTTGAAAGGACGCGGCTCGATCGACAATGGTCGGCTGACGT